TGGTGGTGGTGGTGGTGGTGGTGGTGGTGATGATGATGATGACGATGTTTAAGGACACATTCTTGAGTACTGAGAATGCAAAACATATGTTGTATTGTAGAAGGTTACTCTTCACTGGTTGTTTTTTTTTTTTTTATGATGCTTACTCTTTAAACCAAATACCAGCCAAGGGTATAATCCTTATTCCATTTAAATAAATGGCAAAAAGTGCCCATTCATTTTAATGAGTCTGTATTCACTCTAAATGATTAAACCAAATACTAGCTAATTGCCAGTAATGTATTTGTAGATCAAGTGGCAGCTATTCCTACATTATCTGTTTAATATTAAAACCTAGATCATCCCACATAATTTGGAAGAATTGACTTTTAGCTAACACATGCAGATCATTATTTTGTGATCTCTGTATCAGAAAAGTATTTTTGCACTATGTATAAACATGGAAAAATAACATTATTTTCTTAGAAATGTTTACATTGACAATACATATGTTATAAATTATTTTTAAAAAATTATGTAATAAATATAATCTCCTAAACAGACTGGTGTGCTCATTTGTACAGCAAATTATACTGAGGACTGGAATTTCAGTCCTGTAACACAGAATAAATTTTGAATATGGTCAGATGGACACTTGGAAAAACTACAGTTGCTAATTGGACACTCTACCAAGGCAAAATAATGTAATGTCTGATCCATCAACGCTTCAGATGTGTTAGAGTTCAAGTCTTGAACTTAGTTCAATACAGTATAAATAATAATAATAACAACAACAATTTAAATAATAACATTTTGGTAAAGTAATGAAACTGAATAATAGTACGTCCTATACTGTCAAAATCTACATTTAATCATTCCTAAGAAACCCATTCCAGACCATTTAATTTCACGTATTTAAAATGTTCTAGTCATTCTGAGTTTGTTGATCATTATGAATTGTTCAGCTGTGCTTATCGAGTGCAGTGGGACCAGGATCTTTTCATTTCCAATGCAACATAAAGTTATGGAGGACAAGAGAAACAAAAATAAAGTAAAATGCAAGGGCATGACCAGTATTTCTTATCCATATACCTGGATGTGTCTTTTTATTTTATTTGGTCCTATTTTTAGTTTATTTTGATTAGAAATGGACCAGATCTTTTATTGCTTTGAGCTAGGCCTAAAGGTGAATATGTCCACCCCACCCTGCCCCTTCCCCCCGTGTACCAATAATCTTTCCAGGTGAAAGTTTCTCCAATGTCTTAGCAATTTGGCATTGTTTCACCATTCAGCTATCAGGTCCTGTGTTTCTTTTCTTTGTCATCAGTCCTGTACCATGGTCTCATACCAGTTGCAGTAAAAATGGCTAGTACAGTGAACTGGCTTTCACTATGATTTTAATTCACCATGGCCACCTTGTTTGTTGATGACATGATGAAGACATGATGAAAATTTATTAATCTCACAACACATGGATAGACTCAACCATAATTTCAAGAGGGAAGCTGTGAACATCCTAGACCAAGCTAAATCCAAACATGCTAGGGGATTCCTGGAAGCTTTTGGCATTCAGACAAATCAGCCATCACATAGAGATACACCACATTTACACACCATTCAAAAGGGACAATAAAAAAAGCTAAGCACACCCCCACCAGAGCAAGCTACTGTATTTAAACAGGGAGCAAAGGCCACACTCACTAGCACTGATGATGTTACCTAGTTGGGTAATGGAACATCTGGAAGCAAACAGCCAAGCTCAGAGAGCATCAAGGACTCCACAGTTCAGCCCTGAGCTACAGATATTCTCTTCCATTGTTTGTTGATATCAATGACTTATAGAGCAACCAACATGAGGTTTGAAGTGGCATAGAGTCATAGAACTATAGTACAGCAATTAAATAAGACACTTTTCAGTAAAATGTAGCATTCTCCCTCTGGTGCATTACATAATCTGATTTTTGCAAACATTCTGTGTTTAGAGAACCATTCTTTACAGATGGCAAAAAAAGTGAAATATTGGCAAATGGATTCCAAGCAAGTAA